CTGGAGAGCAGCTCTGAGGAGAAAGACCTGGGAGTCCTGGTGGACAACAGGATGGCCATGAGCCAGCAATGGGCCCTTGTGGCCAAGAAGGCCAATGGCAATGGCATCCTAGGGAGCATCAGGAAGAGTGTGACCAGCAGTTGAGGAAGTTCATCCTGCCCCTCTGCTCTGCCCTGGTGAGGCCCCATCTGGAGCACTGGGACCAGTTCTGGGCCCCTCAGTTCCAGAAGGACAGGGAACTGCTGGAGAGGGAACAGCAGAGGGCTACAAAAAGGGCCTGGAGCATCTCTCTTATGAAGAAAGGCTGAGGGACTTGGGTCTTTTTAGTCTAGAGAAAAGAAGACACCCACGCTTAAAGGGTGGGTGTCAGGAGGATGGGGCCGGTCTTTTTTCAGTGGTGCCCAGTGACAGGACAATAGGTAACGGGCACAAACTTGTACATAAGAAGTTCCACCTCAACATGAGGAGGAACTTCTTTCGTGTGAGGATGGCAGAGCCCTGGCAGAGGCTGCCCAGAGAGGTGGTGGAGTCTCCATCTCTGGAGACATTCAAACCCCACCTGGACACGTTCCTGTGGGACCTGCTCTGGGTGGCCCTGCTCTGGCAGGGGGTTGGACTGGATGGTCTCCAGAGGTCCCTTCCAACCCCGTGGGATTCTGTGATTCTGTTAGGTATGTTTATAGGCCTCATCCGCTCACAGTTGTAGTGAATGGTGGAAACCATCATTTTCAGGATATTAAAACATGGAATTAATAATAGGTTAAAGAAGCCTTCAGGTCTTAAAAATATGTCCTCAGTTCCTCTGTTGATCGTACTTTGGTTTCTGCAGTAAATTTTGGTGGATTTTTATACATTAGTGATGTTAAGTTCATGATACCGAAGCAGCTATTTCTCTCAGTTCAATGTTCACCATCAGATTCAGATTAGAACTGGGGACAGTGAAGTGAAGAAGGATGTCAGATATTTCTGTATTTTTGTAAAATTGGCTTTGGAGCACAGATTAATGCCCCCAACCCCAGAGTGACATTACCATTTTTACTTTTAATGGAGAAGAGATACTAAAATCAGAAGCCCAGAGAAAGTATTGCACACAGTCTTATACATATATTCATTTTTTTTCTGCTGAAATTTCACCTTCATACCAATTTTATCGATGTAATGTGAAATACCAAATTAACGGGAGATTCCTGGACTTAATGCCCGTGATTTGTTATGCTGTGAAGAGATGCTGGCTTGTCGGGATCCCCAGCAGGTAGTTGTAAATTCTGTGAAATTAAAAACGTAACGAGAGGCTGCAAACCCCGTCGGCAGCGAGAGCGGGCAGCGTTTGGGTAACCATTGTTTCCCTGGCATCGCACACAACGGAGCATATCATTTGGGAAGCTCTGGCATCCTGGTTTTTAGGAAGGAGAGCTCTGTCTCTGCCCTTCGTGTGCAAAACCTGAATAATTGAAGTGGATCTTAATAGAATTTCAGAAAAATAGCTGGAATCGGTTCCAGCAGCGCCCGAGGCTGGAGCAGCTCCCGCCGTGTCCTCGCTGGGTTACCTGGCCGTGTCCTCACTGGGTTACCTGGCCGTGTCCTCGCTGGGTTACCTGCCCTGATCCCACCCCCGCTGGTGTCGAACCGCGGTGGGAAACCCCTTCCCCGTCTGCAGTGCCCTTGGCTGAGCGAGGCCGAGCAATCCGGCACAAAGAGCGCTCTGCAGAAATGCGCACTACAAGTTTTAAAACCTGTTTTGAGGAAGGCTGTAAGAATTACCCATTTTCACAAATGTGGACGTTTGGTTTTGGTTGCAGGGTTGGTTTTTTTCATTTGGGGTTTGGGGTTTTTTTTGCAAGATTTGGGTTGGTTTTGTTTTTTTTTTTTCAAGATTTGTTTTGGGACTTTTTGTCAAGACTTGTTTGTTTTTTGTTTTTTTTAACGAGTTGGTTTAATTCTGCATTTAGTTTAATATATTTACTGTTATGCACAAGACCAAGTGTAAAAAGTACTTGGGTTACTTTGAACATTTGAACTTTTTCATAGCTTTTTTTTTGGCATTCAGCTCTCACCTGTTCAGCGCTGCTTCCTGCCTCCTTAAATAGGAAGATCATATTCAGACAGTTTGCCCCTCCTCCCTGTGTCACCCTTCCCTATCCATCTCCAATTTTTTTTGTTAAGAAACAAAACAAACGAAGAAAGGGGGGAAGAAAGGAAAGCCCACCCCTTAGTCTCAGCGGACACGGTGCATCCCTGTGCGTGCGGGGCCCGGCGGTGGCTGCGGGGCCCGGCGGTGGCTGCGGGGCCCGGCGGTGGCTGCGGGGCAGGGATGCTGCGGGGCAGGGATGCTGCTGGGGGAGCAGCGCGGCCGCAGTCCCGGCACGGACACGCGTGTCGCGGCACACCGGCACCGCCGCCCTTAATAGCGACCCTTTCTGTATTTTTCTTTCCGTAGGTTAACGCGGTGAGAAGGGGACTGGGGAAGGAGCGCGTGCTGCCGGTGTCCGGCCCCGTGCCGGCCGCGTTCGCTGCGGGAGCGCCGCCCCCCCTGCCCGTCCCCCTGCCCGTGCCCGGGCCGCGCTCTGTGGCGGTGGCTCCTCACCTGATGCCGCTCTGTCCCTTCGGAGGAGTTCTCCCCGCGCCCGCCTACGGCCTCCCGTGGCCGGCGGCACAGCCCGGCGCTCCCGGCCCGTCCCGCTTCTCGCCGCTGGGCAGCCCCTGCCTGCGGATGTACCCGGGGGGGCTGCGGCCGCCCCCCGCCGAGCCCCCGCGCCCCCACCTGCGGCTGGCGTAGCCGGGGGTGGGGGGTCCCGCGGGGGGGCCGTGCGGGAGGAGGGAGGGCCCCGCCGTGCCCGCCCCGCCGTCACTGTGAGCGCCTCGCCGGGAGGGCCCGTCCCTCGGGCAGTTTCTGCTTCTCTGTAGTGCTGAAGACACTTTATTCCGTTGTGTTCCGGTGTTTCACACTCGCGGTCCTTAAAGTCAATGTACTTGAATCGGTGACTGGAAAATTGTACTAACCCTGCAGGAGTACAGTGCCTTGAATTTCAGCTTTTCAGTTCCAGCTGGAAAGAGATGTAAAATTATTTGAAAGGTGTATTTTATTTACAATCTGCTTGCGAGTTGAAGATGGTTTTTTTTTTTTTATTATTATTATTATTATTATTTGCAAAGATATTGAAGGTTTACAGTCATCAGTTTCATTCTGCTGTAAATGCTTTTATTTTAATTTCACGGGTTGAATTTTTGCTTCTGGAGCTTTTAAAAAAATCAATAATAGTGAGGTGAGGTTTGTTTGAGATGCTGGTGAAAAAATTGTTTGTGTATGTACAAGGAGTAGTGTAATGCACATTTTAAAATAGGAGCATTTACAGAGTGGTCCGAGTGAGTTGTATATATGGAGAGGCAATAGCTTCGGGCAGTGCAATTCATTCTCTCCCCCTCTCTTGGGTTAAGTTGTTGTAGATGGCAACTCATTTCTCTAACAGGCAGGCAAATGCTGTTCTCTTCTGGATCAGCAGCAAATTGGATTACATTTTCTTTCCCCTACTGGGCTTTTTCAATTTAGTTAAATTACAAATTCATGCATGTTTCATAAATGAAAAAAATCTAACTGAAACCTTGATTGTAGGAGAAGGCGTCTCCGGGTCACTTGTAAGTACAGCTCCTGCCTGTATTCCGGCTTCGGTTCGCCCGCCAAGCTTAAAAATGGTGTTTTGCCACTGACGTGCTAGCAGTATTCACGCTAAAATGGAATAAAAATGTGAAGCTATTCTTTTTCGTATCTGATACTTCAGTTCTGGAGTCTCACCACCTTTTGTTTGAAAAATTATTTTTTTATTTTTTTATTTTTAGCTTTAATTGAGTTTGCACTCTAGGTGGCATGGACACCTCTCTCCTGTTTGAAAGTTGCTTTTTGCCCATTTTACTGTGCGTAGAGTCTCCAACCTGCACCTCTCAGTTTAAAGGCACAAGACAACCGCTAAAACTGACGTGCTGATGGTAAGTCTCCTTCCCCCCGAAGGCGCTGAGGGAGGGCATCCCGGGGGGCAGGTCCCCGAGCACGTGGTCACACCTGGAGGCACATTGCTCTGCATCTCTACTGCGATGATATTTATACTGTCTGTTGAAGGGCAGAGATGTCTTGTGCTGCCAAGCTGTGAATTGTATAGTTCTATTGTACTTTCAGCATTATATCTGTCTAAATTATTTTGTTTGTACCCTTTGAATATATTATTCCATCAATTCAGTTAGAATTGAATTTTATAGACAATTATGCAGAGTCTTCTGCCTGGGCAAAATACTTACTGTAGTAAGAGATTTCTGTTCTCTGTAACATGTATCTTTAATTTGTTTGGGTTTTTTAGATTCATGTCTGTATGCTTCATGAGCAAACATGGAAAATATGTTCTCACACCAGTTTTCCTTCAGCTTGCACTGAATCTTACAGTTTATGTCGCTATTGCCTGTTGTATAGTCCATCCCTTGTATACTGACAAAGTCAGTGGCACTAAAACCCACAGGAAATTGTATAGATTAAAAAGAAGAAAAATAAACATTTTGTGCTTGAAAATTGTGTGAAAAACACAGGTTTTTTTCTAAAAACATAGAATTGTGTCCATTCCCAGGTAACTCCAGTTCCTGGGTAACTCTGCATTTGTTTTCCAGACCTTTACCCCTTGACTTAGGTAGAAGGGGCAGATGTGATGCCTCCAGCGGTTTCTCAGGTTCTGCCTGTAGCTCGCACGTCCCCACCTCCTGGCAGCTGTACAAGTGCCACGGTGCTCCACAAGTCCCATAGTGCCACCTCACAGGTTACATTGCTCTAAGTCCCCTGCCCACCACCGCATTTCTGGTGTGGTGCTGCCACAGCCGGGTGGGCTGGCAGGTTCCCCAGGTTCCCGTAAGCAGATGGTGCCTTCAGTACTGCTGAGGGTACACATGAGGACGCTAGAGCTTGGTAGGTGATGGCAGAGGCACGTGGGCTCCCTCTCTCCTAGGGAAGCCCTTTTAACTTCATCCTGGCATCATTTAAACGTGAGAAAGTGGAGAGAGGAGATGTGGCCTCAGTGCAAGCTGCCTCTTGGCGGTGGCTGTCGTTGCTGCAGGAGAAATTAGGGAAGGAGGTGCAGGAAGAGGTTTGAAACTTCTGCTTCTGTCTTGCTTTGCATCCGAGCCGTGTGGCTTTGCTGTCTGCGCTGCCTGCCTTGGAAAGCCTGTGCCTGTGTGACGAGTGGGATGTCCCCTCTCCTGGGAGGGGTGGGATGTCCCGGGTCCCAGGACGGGGGCTGCGCTGTGTGACGGGTGGGATGTCTCCTGTCCCAGGCAGGGTGGACAGCCTCTCCCAGTGGGGCTGAACTGCAGCTTCCGAATCTGTCCCTAACTCCCGCTTCTTGAGCTGGAGCTGGGGCCAGCTAAAGGCTCAAGATTGATGTTTGCATTTCAGTATTCAGGATTTTAATTTTCTGATCACCATCTTGGCTGCAGTTCTTCTGACTATTAACTTCAAGCTACATTTTCTTACCCTCCATCCTGTCAAAGGGTGCTCTGACCCTCAGTGGCAATTAAGCAAATGCCATGAGATGAACTTGAGCAAAAGAGTGAGGGCAACCGAAGGGTCTGCACCTTCAGAGGTGGGGTCTGCACCCAAAGAGGCGTTCCTCTGCAGTTCCCAGAACTGAATTAATTTTGTTCCTGACTCTGAATATGGCTCTGATGTGCAGTGAACAGGGTGCAAACCCTCGGGGCAGAATTCCCCCCCTGGCCAGTTGCAGGCCAGCAGCCGGGTCCCATAGCTCTGCCCTCTCCCCCAGCGCACGTGTGTGAAATCAGTACACATCCTCCACTTTAAACGCGAGGGTTTGATGCGGGGGTTCACAGATCCTCCAATTTTCAATCTTTTAGAAGCTATAGAAACTTAATACAAATACTGAAAGAATGTTTTAAACTACCAAGTCATGCACCCAGTAATTCGGAAATGCCAAATTAAGTTTACCCATATGCCGTTAATTTGGCTTTCCGATTGCCGTACATCATGATGGAGTATCTAAATGTGTAATCACATCCTGCTTTCCCCCTGCGTTCCTGGCTTGCTTGGAGCGGGGCTGGCCGGGGAGGAGAGCTGCTTGTCTGCTGCAGGGATGCGATGCGGGGAGCAGAGATGGTAGGGAGAAACGTTGGGACGTTTTAAGGCTCTTCTGCAAATCCCCATTCAACCCCCCTGACATGGACTTAATTCGAAAGAAGGATGTAAAATTGTCCCATGCAGTTTTTTTGCTTGTGTAACTCTGATCTCTATTCCAGAACTTTAAAGAGGAAATATTAGTTAACTGTTATTTTACACCTATCTTCAAAGTGTTCCTTTTTTGCTGTCTCCTGTATAACTACTTTTCTCTGAAATACTTGACATTGGCTGGTATCAAAGACGAGATGAACGATTGCATGGGCCACATGTGGCAATCTCTTTGCTCCTACAGAGATTTTTGTGTTTGGGAATAGAGCACTGTCATGACCAGTGGCAGTATTTCTGAAATGAACTTCTTAATCAAGTTGCAGGTTTTGCCATTTGGTGTTTGTGGAAGGAAATCATAGTTGCTCTTTCCCTTCAAGCACTTTTTTTTTTGTCCCAGTGCACTATTTTCAATTCCAAAAACATACAGAATTTTTCCAAATGAGCCCTGTGGACTTAGCACTTGGTGGGTCCGTGTTAGTGTTGTTCAGTTAGTGCGTGTTTGAGTAGGAAAAACATCTGTCCTCCTTCATTCTTGGGAAGTTGGCTCGGGAGAGTTGTAGTCAGAAGTCTCCCTTCTGAAATTATTTGACCTCACCATTGCCTTCCCTGTGATCCCCTTAAATTAAGCAAGTCTTTTTGAGTAAGATTAATGTCTCAGATGTTAGCTAACATGGCAAAAGCCTACCTAGTTTTCTGCCTTGCTGCCAGCAAGCCCCACTTAAGTGTTCCATAGATGCTGGTGAAACTGTTGGCTTGGAGCCAGAAGGCACAAATGATTGTGTTTAATACTTCAGTAAGCTTTCCTTGCATTCTCTGGTTGTTCCTCTGCCCTTGTCTGTCCCTGAAGACATCTGCTGATGTTTGTGGAGAAGGATGGCAGTGCTGAAGAGGTTGCTGAGTACAGGCAGGGGCTCTGCAGAGACGAGCAGGGAATTCATGCGCTCCTTGCTGTCACAGACAGATGAATATCTTGTTCTGGGACTGAATTTATGAAAGAGCAAAACCATAATCACGTGGAATTTCTTGCAATTGTTTATTGATTGAATCCCTGAGAAGCATTTCTTTGGTTTGTGCTGTTGGGCTGTGGTTGGCTGATGCTTGGGCTGAGCTTCAGTTGAGTATTTGGGCAAGCTCTCTGGTGTGCTGAGCCTTGTGGTGTTTCTTCTGAAGAAACCTGGTAAATACAATTGTTTTCCTGTCTATACACACCTGAAGTGAACCGTTGATCAGATGGGAATTGTGTTGTGACTTGCACATGTTGGTGACTTTTGGCTGGAGTGACATTTGCTTTTTCAGGTGGGTCTGTGTGTGGAGCCATCCCTGCAGATGCAGCAGGAAGGTGACGTTCCAGCCCTGACCATGCTGGTTCTTTTATTAATGCAGATAAGCTCCAGAAGTGCAACATAATGAAATGGATCTTAGGAGCTGTCAGGTTACAAATTCTGCATTATGAAAGAATTTGTTGCTCAGAGGGATTTGGATGTACTATGATGCTGACGTGTCAGTAGATTACTTGTAACTGATTCATCTGAAACTCAGGCTTATAGCAGGAGGCAGCAACTTCTGTCAATTATTTGGTCCTTTCTGCTTTTTTTTTTCAGAGCCATAGCTGTAGCGTACTATCAGGTTTGTTGCTATGTACACTTGGATCTATATTTGACTGCAAAGCTTCTCCCTTGAAGTGACTTTCACATGAGCAGTTTAGAGGCTGTGGAAATCGAGCTTTCAGCCTGATGTGCAAAGCCTCATTAAGCATTAAATTTTGCTTGATGATGCATAGAAGAGAACCTACAATTTTGATAAAGTATCTGTTATAACAGTGAAATTCTTGTGATGAATTTTTGGGTTTTCAAATTCTGTTAAGCAAAGGAAGCTTGGATTAATTTCTTCTGCTGTAGTGCCACTGGATGGATTCACAGCGTGCATGTAGTGTGGTGGTGTGTTTGCACATCAACAGGGGAGAAGGAAAAGTTAGGATTTATATTTTTTCCCTTGGAAAGGAGCAGATTCCCATACTTTGCCTTACATTCTTGAGGCACCACTGAGTGCAGCTCTTGAGGAGAGTCAAGGGACAGATTGGGCACAGTGAGAGCCTCTTGAGCTGGTCTTCTGGGGACTTCTTTGTGTCTGTCATAGTTTTTTCTGAGCTATTCAGAGCTTTGACACCTTGTAAAAAACTAGGAAGTTTAAGAAGAAATAACTAGCTACCAGTCCTTCTCAAGCAGGTGTTCTTTAGATCTGACATAAAATACTCCAAGAAATAAAAAAAGTATTTACTTGTGTGTTGTTGTTTTCTTAATTACTTTATTACTTTGCAAATAAGGTAAAAACTTCCTCAGTGTTCAGTTTTTGTTTATCAGGGTAGATAAACTGTATCTGGTACCATCCTCACTGTGAGTCGGCAGCTACAAGATGTGCAATCGCTGCCTTTTTCCCGTAGTTCTGCCCAGCACAGAGAAAATGTTGAATGTAGTTGAGCTCACTCATCTCTTTAGTGCTGTTAACCTTTCGGTCTTTGGTTGGAAGTTCAGGTGGACTTCAGAATCAGAAGTCAAGAGGTTGTCCACAGGATGTGGGCTAAGCATCTCTGAGGGTTTGTATGAAGAGCAGGTGCTGGGAGAGCTTGCTCTGGCTTTGGCTTGATGGCTGATGGGTGGTGTAACTGGGGGTCAGGCCCATTGCGGGCTTAAGGCTTTTCCCCATGACCTGGAGATCATTAATTTTGTCTTGTTTTGTCTTCCTGGATGAGCTTCTGTGCCAAATGCTGGTTATCACTAGCGAGCAGATGTTGAGAATGGTGGTGGATTCACTTGGATCTGCAGAGCTGATATTGAGCAGAAGCTCAGGAAGGAATTTGTGATCAAGTCATGGTTGTACATCCTTTAGAAGTGATTCCTCCTATGAGGAGGAGCAAAAAAATACAGGAGGGAGAAAATTGGGACCTCATTTAATAAAAGCAAAGCCTAGCATGTGGAGACCCACCAGGAGCTAAGCCAAAAACAGATGTCTGTTTGCACAGTGCGCTTCTCCGCGATGTCCCTTGTCTTCCTTGCTGTTTTTAAAGACTGACAGCATTTTTTCTGAAAGCACGTAGCAAACCGTGTGCTCTGTGGAACCCAGTGTGGGTGCTTGCAGGTCCAGCCGCAGTGTGCACGCTTCCGTGCTGCAGGGCTTTGGTGCATGTCGGTGGGAGCGTGTTGCCCGCCCAGCCCATGGGCACCAGCGGGGCACGTACCGCGGGGTGGGGGGACGCCTGGTGGCACCCTGTGCTGCTGCTGCTTCGGCCTCGTGCTGTGCTCTCCATGTGTTACTCTGGTGATGGCATCTCAAGCCCTCGGCAGCTCTGTGCCCTGCGGCGTCCGGCTGGCCGTCTTGCCCATGGTCTGCAAAGGGTGGGGGAAGCTGATGGATCCCACCCCTGCCTTGTCTTCTGCTGGCATGGAGAATGGCATCCCTGCGTCCTGGGCAGGAGGAGGGTCCTGGGCTTGGCTCCGTTCCTGTCGGACAGGGCGGGTGGGCCTGGGCTGTGCTGCTGAGCTGCGGGCACAGGAGAGCCGTAGCCCACAGCTTGTCCCAGCAGCCCCCATCCCTGCAGCAGCCTCTGTTGGTGCTGCCCCCTTTCCTCCCCCCCCTTTACTGGGCTGGAGTCCCATAAACCAAGAGAATCACGGGGCCTCTGCTGGCTTTCTCTGTCGCTGCCTCCTGGGAGATTAGCTCTTCCCCCACGGGAGTGGGGACTCGGGAGTGACTCCCCAAGATGCTTGGGTTCTGCCACCAACATCAGTTTGTTTGGGCTTCTAAGCTCTGGGTGCGAGGCGGGTGATGTCTGAATGGAGGATTTGGGTTTCTCTTTCCCTGTGGTACCCGAATGGCACCCAGCGGCTGGCACGCGCCGGCAGAAGCACCTTCCACGTGCTCATGTGCCCCTTTTGGGTTTTGTTTGGGTTTTCCTATATGTGAAATCCATATATGGATTTTTTTTTTTTTAGATTCTGAAAATGAGATCGTCAGCGACTGACACGTGGCCCCCTCAGCTACGGTGCCAAGCGCGAGGCCCCGCCGCGGCTAAGGAGGAGGAAGAGGAAGATGGGAAGTGATTTATCGTGTGTGAGAAATTCTGTGCTGTTCTGGTCCATTCGACGCAATTTTGTAACTTCTTTCTAATCATTTTTTTTATTTATAGTTGGAAATACAAAAATGTTATGCAAAAAAAAAAAAAATAAAGGAGAATTATTTTGGGGGAAAAGGATTTTGTTCCAAATTGTTCCCTTCTGTTGTGAGCCAGGTTCCCATGAGCAGCGGCTGGAGAAGAGGGAGGAGGAGGAGGCGGCGCTCCTTCAAATACTTTTTGTTTCACACAGCTAATTGTCATTTACATAATTTTCCAAAAGGTTAGCTAGGCACGCATATTCAAATTCTAGTACAGGGAAGATAGTTCCAATTCCATTTAAATTTCTCACAGTTCTTTTGTAAAGATAATACTCTATTTTAAATCTGCTTATATCAAGCAAAGAAACTACAGAGACTTCACCGGAGAGTAAGTTTGTACTTGTCACTTCCCTTTTTACCTCTTTCTTTTTCTTATAGACCAGCCGCATTTTCTTGCCAGAGTTAAATACAGTTCTCGAGTCACGTCTAATTTTAAATGTAAGACTAAAATCCTTCTACAGACGAGTCAGTAATTGGAGCAATTTTTAAAAGACTTCAAAGTGCCTTCAACAAGCTAAAATTATGTAGTGGGAGATTTCTTTTTCTTGATTCACTGACGATGGGTTTCTGCTGTCTCCTGGGTTGAGGAGATGTACAAAGTTAGTTTGTAGCAATAATCTCATGAGTAATCATTTATTAAAAAGGACTACACATCTTTTTTTTTTTTTAGAAAGATGGGGTTTAGCACTGTTCCTAAGGAGTGGGAAAGTGCTGCTCTTGCCATTATGTTTGGGCCCCAAACTCTTCCGACCCTCTGCTGCTGTGCTGTGCACCCAAGGACTTCAGTTGCTTCCCCCTTGGACAATTCCAGACCGTGATGTTCTCACCTTTTCGCTCTTGTTTTTGATACCAGAAAAATAGGAATTTCTATTTGCCCATAAGCCTTTCAGTACCATCCTTTCTTGCAGCTGGAGCCTGGCGTATTGTTTCTTTGTTATCTGCCATGTCTGTCTCTTCCAAATCTCAGTTCTAAATAATAAATCTTATTTTGATGCTGTTGTTACCTATTTCCTTTCCACCCCAGCTTCTCTTGCCCGTCAGTGAGGGCGATGAGAGCGCAGGTGGATTTAGATATATTGCTGGAGCTCAAGAGCCATGAAGCAAAGAACCACTCAGACACTTTGTAAATTCAGAGTTTTGAAGCCCCAGGGCCAAAATATTTATATTTGTATTAACTTTATGTTCTATCTCTGTCTCAGGAAAAGGGACTGGTCTCCCTCATGAGAGCAGGGGCCGGAGAAGTGGCAAAGGCTGTTGCTAAGGTGTTGCTTGCCTTGGCCTTTTCCGCTTGTAGGAGGGACCAGATCTGTTTCCCGTTTTAATGGGTGGGAGATGTGGGGTCCAACCGAGCTCCACGCCTTTTGTTTTCTGTTGTGGTTGCTGTCATCTTCCTTCCCCCTGGCTTTGAATGCACCTCCCTCGCCCTCTGGTCCTGCACCCGTTGCCGGGGTGAGGTGGTGGGTACGGGAGACAAGGGTGTCGCATCCCTGTCGTGCTTCTCCAGGGGTGAGTGGCCATTCCAGTCATCACGGCAGCAGAAGGCTGTGCCCTCACTTGGATTTTTATTCCCTAAAAGTTAAAAAGGCTGCTTTCTCCAGGGAAATCCCATGCTGGGTCTCCAGGGGTCCGGGTCTTCTTCAGCGTGGGCAGCCTCCATCAGTTTTTCTGATGCCTGGCCCCCTTCACTCCTCCTGCAGACCCTTGTGCTCCTCCCTGGCCCCAGCTGTGGCTGCAGGAAGCCAATGGCCCTCTGTCTCCAGATAAGTAGTTTGAAAATAATCTATTAATATGCAGATTAAATATAAGGATTAGTATCAGGATTAAAGATCAGGAGTGGAAATTGTGGCAAACCCTGGACGGTGCTTGCTCAAGACCGCTGCCAAGTCTGCCTAGCTTTAGATAATCTCTTCTCCAAAAGGCTGCTGCATTTTGGGGTGTAGTCCGTGTAATTTCTGCTCGCACTGCAGTTTGAACTAAAAGCCCTAGGAGGTGCTAAGAGTCCTTGAGCTCCTCCGGTGTGAACTAGGATCCTCTGTGGAGACAAGTCTGGGCTTTGGTGCTTTTCCTCCATACCTGCTGCCTCCAGTTTCTCTTCTCCTTGCAGAGCAGTAAGAAATGTTCTCCTCTTGCTGTGACGCCAAGCTAACATTGTGGTATGGAGTTTAATCAGAAATACTTTCTGCTGGCCGAAATCAAAAGCCCAAGCAGGTGAGCGTGACCATTACAAGGTTGAACACAGCACGTAGGAGTGACAAGGAAGACTACAAAGATGTGGGCTGTAGCTTTGCTCTGAAATGTGATGCTGCATCCCTGCTTCCATCGAGGTGCTGACACGTTTTCTCCCACGGAGGCTGGACGTGCTGGTTCCAGTCCATACCTGCATTGAGCTCAACAGCGCACGGTGGGGACCAGGGACGCGACCCGTGGGCGGACAACCCTGTCTACCTGCCAGCAAGCCCCTGGCCTTCCTGTGATGCAGCCCCTTGGGCTGTTGGGAGCAAATAGTTTTCAGCCTCCTTTGTTTGCCATGCAGGTTGATTTCTGCCCTGCGGTGATGGGATGGGATATCTCTGGCTGTCCTGTCCCTGCCGCCTGGGCGAGTGGCGCTGAGCTGGGGGCACCTGGCGCAGCTCTTCATTGCACCCATGAATATTTCAAGGCATTGGTAACGTCTCCAGCTCCATTTGTCTGCTGGGAGCCTCCAGCAGTCTTGCTGTCTCCTCTGAACATCTCATATACATTTGCCATCCTACAATGATTAACTCCCTGCTGAAGCTATAGCGGTGTTCCTGGATAGTGTCACTGCAAGTGCCACCCGGAGCTTGCCTTCGTGCTGCTGTTGCCTTTGCTGCTTGGCTCAAGTTCACAGGAAGCCCAGAAGGGTCCTCTGCCAACGTTACTGCCTCTCAGGAAGTCTCTGGCTAATGCTGAGTCCTGAAAAAACCTTCTCCCGTGCTACCTGTGAGTCACTGCAGTTCAGATGGGCCTTTTTTCCACCTCCGGAAAAAACAGTTCTTTAAAAAAAACACCCTCCAATTTGGGTGTTGGGTACCATGAAAGCAATCTGGCACGTTTGGTTTGACCGTGAGCATGCCCATAAGAACGGGACTGCTTGGTGTTGGTTGGTTATTCTGAAATTACTTTGAATATAAAGCAAATGCTTAAGAAAAAAGCAGAGTTCATTGCAATCCAGCTATTGGCAGCACAGTTATGAGGTTTAGAAAGTTGTACAAGACAAAGATAAAACCCTACTTCTCTTTAGCTAAATTGTAGACCAACTCCTAGAGATCAGTCGCCCAATTTCTTTCATCCCCAAGAAGTGGATGTAAAGCCTTGGGATAATTTTCAATAAAGGTCTTCTGGGTTATTAATATGGGGTATCTTTATATATTCAAACCATCCTTGGGGCTGTCCTAGGGTAGGGCCTGGGCTTCAAGATTTTCTGTGATCTGTTAATCAGTGTCTAATCCTCCAGGAAAAACAGTTTGAGTTACCAGCTACCCCTCAGGCTTTGACAACATCTGGAGGAACAGCTAGTCTGGAAAGCCTTGGTGAGCATACTAACAGGCAGCGCCAACGCTACGTACAAGCTTAGTTATAAATGTGCTGAATGTGATGCTTTCCTAGCTCTTAGCTGAGACAAAATGATGGCTCTCAACCCCATGACAGGTTGGCTTTGGGGCTCCTGACCCCCCGATAGCCCAGCTTTGGGGGTTGAAAAGCTGGAGAACCAGAGCTTTCCCACAACTGACCAAGCAGGTATATACGGACAACAACTTCTGAGCTCTGACAAAGGAATCCAGAAGAACGATGAGGTTGATCTGTCAGATCCTTCTGAAATCTACCTGTAAAATGCCCCTTTTAGAGTAAGTACCAAAATGTTGCTTGGTTGCAGTATTTAGGGGACAGAGTGATTTGGACCATAGCTTTTGTCCACTTGGACACACTGAGCTGGTACCAACACAGCACTGGGCGAAGCAAGGTGAGAATTTAAGTCTGTGTGATCCAAATTCTCATCTACTCCATAGAGCCTCTGTGATGCGTTATCCTAAAAGCAGTGGAGGCTGTGGATGCAGCCACGGCCACGTAGCTTCATTCGGGATGCGCTGTGCGGGCAGAGGTGCATCTCATCCCACCTCAGGAGGTGTACGGTCAACCAGATCAGGGAAGTTGTCCTTTTTGGTTTGTGCACTTATCTAAAATGATAACTATAAAGTTTAGGAAACAAACTTGAGTTTCTTAAAATCATTTCCATGCTCTTGGGCTACTTTTGTCCATCAAAGCCCTACGTGTCTGCTCTGCTAGCACAACTTAAAGCTGGGTGCCAAGGGGGAGAGCTTGGGCATGTGCTCAGGAAAATGGAGGCTTTGAGAGCTGGAGGAACAACTGGGGCAGCTCTTGGTGTGTGAAGGGATAGAGCTGCCCCTGCCCAGGCTGGACCCCAGGCCCTTCTGCAGGATGACCTCCCTCTTGGTCATGGTGCCTCATCCTAGTGTTGGATCCCAGCTGTTGCACTGAAGAAGCAACGATGGGGATGCTGGGCATCTTTGGCAGCTGTGGGAGGGAGGAATGGAGGAAATGACAGAGAAAAATGGGGTGTCTTGGGCTCTGTTGGGCAGGGACTATTACAAGCAGCATTGAAGTTTAGGGAAGAATTCTGCTTTTTTTCCCAGAAACAGGGGAGTTATTATTATTATTGAAGCAGTAAGTAAAAACACTTGCTATATTAGAACAGCTGTGCATTTAGAAAGAGAGACATTTTAATTTGACAA